TAATTGCGTCTGGCATGATTCTCTGGAGATTGAGGTCCGGCATGAAAGGGTCGCAAATTTGTTTACTGATTTTTTTTGCCTTTTTTAACATATAAATGGAGGGGGAAAAATCATTAAATTATACACGGTGTAATATACATATTTCAAAAGAAAAGAATCTCAAACTGAAAGGCGAGGAAGGATCAAGAAGCAATGAAACTTCCTCTTTACATTAGATTTAGTTTGTACTATAGTTATTTATTAAATATATACTTATATAAATAAAGTGTTAAGATTATATAATAAAGTAATTTACAAGTGTATAGAAAATATATTAAGAGAAAGTTATATCTAATAATTAACAATTATTCCACGAGTGCACATTGGCTATAATCATCTCATATCTAACAAGCGCGAGTGGAATAATTCTTTTATCAAAAACGCCCACAAAATATCGAGAATTCTTCCCGACTTTATTTGTAAAACCAACTGATTTTCAGCTTATTTTTAATTTTGAGCAGACGTGTACAGTTACCATATTTGGAGAACATGGCTCATATACCATGACGGCTAACCCAATCAGAGCTCTAGAGTTGCATTAGCCAATCATCCGGATTCAGTTTTAAATTATTAGTAATAAATTACAAACGATTTCGCTGTAAATTAATCAAATATTAAATATTAGTCCAAACCAAACCAAATAAAGACAACAGCTAAAGAGAGGGCCACAAGTTTACTAGTTTCTGTAACTATTCCGTGCTACCCTCTTTAGATAAAGTGTATTATTATTATTATTATTATTATTATTATTATTATTATTATCATTAAAGAAAAAAACTAACATTTTTACTGTACTCTTCATTCAATCGCGCCAGTGCACCACATTGCACCTTTCACCAACCTATATGATTCAGGGCTCGTGCCCAGTTCAGTTCAGTCCACCCATGCAACTTAGTCTTCTGCATGACCACACTTGTAATAAAGTCTTTCTATTCTCTGCTTCTTTATGATCAAGGAATTTCCCAGGTTGTATTTTGTAATCCATAACAAATCCTTGCGAATAAAGCACTAAACTGTTTTTTTTCTTCTGGGACCTTTTGTGTGTCAGGACCTAGTGTACTTCTGTACACTAAGATGACAGTTAATCTAACTATTTTTTCTCACGTTGGGAGCTTTCCTTCATAGATATTGACGAGTGTACGACGAACAGGCATAATTGTGACATCAATGCTTTCTGTAATAATACCGAGGGATCTCATAATTGTACCTGTAAGCCTGGATACTCTGGAGATGGAAGTAATTGTACTGGTAATATTATGTTCTTACTCTTTGTTTATTTACAGTATATGTATGATTGCGGTATATACTAGGTTCATTATTGTGATGAAGATGAAATCTTTTGTATGTCGACCTTCAGTCAGTATCTTTGTGGAGATGATAGTGAAATGTTCTAACTTTTCTCACGTTGGGAGCTTTCCTTCATAGATGTTGACGAGTGTATGATTAACACCCATAACTGTGACATCTATGCTGTCTGTAATAATACCGAGGGATCTCATAATTGTACCTGTAAGCCCGGATACTCTGGAGATGGAAGTAATTGCACTGGTAATGATGTGTTTTTATTCTTTGTTTGTTTCTTTGTATATGATTGAGGCATATACTAGTAGGCTAAATTTTGTAATCGAGATCAAATCTGTTTAATATATTAAGTCAGTTTGTTTAGATAGTCTCGTTTACTGTGGTCGAGCGCTTGCTAGGATAACAGGGATTCTCCCCCGCCATTCACTTTGGTCTAGCATTGCCGTTCTGCGTTCTTCGATAATGCACGCGGTCCTATGTCTTCCTCTCTTAGTTTGTCCATGTTATGGCTGCTACAGTACAAGCTTCGATGCCTTCTCTTCTTTGTGTCTAACAAAATGCCCAGCTACTCTTATTATTCTTTCCCTGTTCTTGCAAGAAAGCTTTTGGAATGAGGTGACCGTACAGATCTTTTCTTGAGATGTGGTCCCTCAAAAGGTTTAGTGCTATACGAAGCATCCGGCCTAGCAAAGGCACCATCAGTTTGCTTTTTTGTGTTTTTTGTCAGGGTCCATGTTTCGATGCCGCATAAAAAAACACTTTCTATTGTTGCCACGAAAAGTCAAACCTTGAATTTTCTACACCGGCTAGATTTCCAAATTTTGCCCAACTTGTTGCAGGCCACCCAGGCTTGAGCTTTTCTCGTTTTCGTGTCTTCCATGTCATATTAAGTTGTTTTGTATATCGTACGTTTCAGTTGTGTGTGGACCTCAGTGTACCTCTCTAAAGATGGTGTTGATCAAACTGTACTGACATTTCTCATGCTGAGAGCTTTCCTTCATAGATATTGACGAGTGTACGATCAACCGCCATAATTGTGACATCAATGCAGTCTGTAATAATACCAAGGGATCTCATAATTGCACCTGTAAGCCTGGATACTCTGGAGATGGAAGTAATTGCACTGGTAATGACGTGTCTCCGTTATTTGTTTGTTTATAATTGAGGTATTTGCTGCTAGGTTAGATTTCCTAATCGAAGCCTAATTTTTGGCTTCTTTGTGAACAAACCTGTTCTTTATTCTCGGTTTCAACCTTATACCGCCTCTGTGAAACTGAAAAGTAAATATTATACTTTTGACTACGTTGAGCGCTTTCCTTCCTAGATACTGACGAGTGTATAATCAACACCCATAACTGTGACATCAATGCTGTGTGTAATAATACCGAGGGATCTCATAATTGTACCTGTAAGCCTGGATACTCTGGAGATGGAAGTAACTGCACTGGTAATAACATGTTCTTATTCTTTGTTTCTTCATATATACGACAGAAATATACACTAGGCTTAATATTGTAATGGAGATCAAATCTTTGCAAATAAAGCTGGGTTTTTTTGTATCCTTTGTTTTTTTGTGTGTGTGGGTCGACCTTGTACCTTTGTGAAGATGATGAGTAAAGGTACTAATTTTCTCACTTTGGGGGTTTTTCTTCAAAGATATTGACGAGTGTACGAGCAACAATCATAACTGTGACATCAATGCTTTCTGCAATAATACTGAGGGTTCTCATAATTGCACCTGTAAGCCTGGATACTCTGGAGATGGAAGCAATTGCACGGGTAATGACGTGTTTTATTCTTTCCTTGTTTATAGACATATAAGTGAGGTACTTCTTAAATTAGATTTTGTCACATAGTACTGGGAGAGAGCTTCGGATCGCTTGCGCGAATTGTCATAGGAATTAGGAGGGGAAGCACACTCATTCGAACAAGAGAGATCGGGAAACTGTGATATGACTGCTTGGTAGATTTGCTCGACGATAGAAAGGAATCTTTAAAATTCAGCACACCACTGGACTTTTCATCCGAAAAAGAACCAAACACTAATTTTCTCTGACAACAGGGATCTTAACATCGCCACATCTAAGAAATCGGAATAGTATTTATCCGTGAGAAATTCGAAACTTTTATCCTCGTCTCTTCCAAGGACGCTTTTGCTCTTCAAGTGAATAGAGTACGAAAGTGTGACGTCATAAAAATGAAATTTCTGAAATTATGGGATTTATCAGGATATTCTGAAAGAACAATGTCCAAGAGGCGTATTCGCCAAAAAAGAGCATTTCGGGGCAAATTGTCTCTAAGATCGTAGCCCAGACTCCATACAAAACCCTTCTAAATTTTTTGGGGGTCGACCTCAAAAGAATTTAGAAGCGTTTGTATGGAGTTTTCTAAGCGTAACTGGGCTACGATCTCAGAGACAATTTGCCCCGAAATCCTCATTTTTGGCAAGTAGGCCTCTTGGACATTGTTCTTTCAGAATATCCTGACAAATCCCATAATTTCAGAAATTTCATTTTATGACGTCATCACTTTAGTACTCTATGGCACTGACGCGAGACGTGACATCATGATACTGGCGCGAGGATTGAATCAACGATTTCCTTGGAGACTCTCCTCCCCCGTGATGATTAAGATATATGCTAGGTTAGGTTAAATTTTTTAATAAAGATTTTATCTTTGTAAATAAGGCTGTTTATCTTTGTTTCTTTATATAACTAGAATATGAACTAAGCTTAATTTTGTAATGGAGATCAAATCTTTGCAAATAAAGCTGTTTTGAAGATGATAGTGAAATGTACCAACCTTTCTCACGATGGGAGCTTTCCTTGATAGATATTGACGAGTGTACGACTAACAGGCATAATTGTGACATCAATGCTTTCTGTAATAATACCGATGGATCTCATAATTGCACCTGTAAGCCTGGATACTCTGGAGATGGAAGTAATTGCACTGGTAATATCATGTTCTTACTCTTTGTTTGTTTACAGTATATGTATGATTGAGGTATATAGTAGGTTTATTATTGTGATGAAGATGAAATCTTTTGTATGTCGACCTTCAGTTGTACCTTTGTGAAGATGACGATGAAATGTTTTAACTTTTCTGACGTTGGGAGCTTTTCTTCATAGATACTGACGAGTGTACGACCAACACCCATAACTGTGACATCAATGCTGTTTGTAATAATACCCAGGGATCTCATAATTGTACCTGTAAGCCCGGGTACTCTGGAGATGGAAGTAATTGCACTGGTAATGATTTGCTTTTATTCTTTGTTTGTTTCTTTGTACATGATTGAGGCATATACTAGTAGGCTAAATTTTGTAATCGCGATCAAATCTGTTTATATTAAGTTAGTTTGTTTACATAATCTCGTTCAGTTTGGTCGAGCGCTTGCTAGGATAACAGGGATTCTCCCTCGCCAGTCACTTTGGTCTAGCATTGCCGTTTTGAATTCTCCGATAGTTGCAAACCCAGTGTCTTCAAGAGTGTATGTACATGGTCCTAGGTCTTCCTCTCTTAGTTTGTCCATGTTGTGGCTGCCAAAACACAAGCGTTGATGCCTTCTCTTCTTTGTGTCTAACACATGCCCAGCTACTCTCATTCCTCTTTCCTTGTTCTTGCGAGAAAGCTTTGGGAGGTGACCGTACAGATCTTTACTTGAGACGGTGGTCCCTCAAAACGTTTGGTGCTATACGCAGTATCCTAGCAAAGGCACCATCAGTTTGCTTTTCTGTGTTTTTGGTTAGAGTCCACTGTTGCCAGGAAGAGTCTAACCTTTAATTTCCAACACAGATTTCCAAATTTTGCCCAACTTATTGCAGGCCATTCAGGCTTGATCTTTTTTCGTTTTCGTGCCTTTCATGTCATATTAAGTTGTTTTCGTATATCGTTCGTGTGTGGACCTTGTACCTCTCTAAAGATGGTGGTGGTCAAACTGTACTGGCATTTCTCATGCTGAGAGCTTTCCTTCATAGATATTGACGAGTGTAGGATCAACCGCCATAATTGTGACATCAATGCAGTCTGTAATAATACCAAGGGATCTCATAATTGCACCTGTAAACCTGGTTTCTCTGGAGATGGAAGTAATTGCACTGGTAATGACGTGTCTCCGTTATTTGTTTGTTTATAATTAAGGTATTTGCTGCTATCGACTGCTAGGTTAGATTTCCTAATCGAAACCTAATTTTTGGCTTCTTTGTGAACAAACCTGTTCTTTATTCTCGGTTTCAACCTTATACCGCCTCTGTGAAACTTAAAAGTAAATATTATACTTTTGACTACGTTGAGCGCTTTCCTTCATAGATACTGATGAGTGTATAATCAACACCCATAACTGTGACATCAATGCTGTGTGTAATAATACCGAGGGATCTCATAATTGTACCTGTAAGCCTGGATACACTGGAGATGGAAGTAATTGCACTGGTAATAACATGTTCTTATTCTTTGTTTCTTCATATATACAACTGAAATATACACTAGGCTTAATATTGTAATGGAGATCAAATCTTTGCAAATAAAGCTGGGTTTTTTTGTATCCCTTGTTTTTTTTTGTGTGTGTGTGTCGACCTTGTACCTTTGTGAAAATGATGATTAAATGTACTAACTTTTCTCACTTTGGGGGTTTTCCTTCAAAGATACTGACGAGTGTACGAGCAACAATCATAACTGTGACATCAATGCTTTCTGCAGTAATACTGAGGGTTCTCATAATTGCACCTGTAAGCCTGGATACTCTGGAGATGGAAGCAATTGCACGGGTAATGACGTGTTTTATTTATTTTTCTTTCCTTGTTTATAGACATATAAGTGAAGTACTTCTTAAATTAGATTTTGTCACATAGTACTGGGAGAGAGCTTCGGATCGCTTGTGCGAGTTGCCATGGGAATTAGGAGGGGAAACCACACTCGTTCGAACAAGAGAGATCGGGAAACTGGGATATGACTGCTCGGAAGATTTGCTCGACGATAGAAAGGAATGTTTAAAATTAAGCACACCACTGGACGTTTCATCCGAAAAAAGAACCAAACACTAATTTTCTCTCTCCAATAGGAATCTTAACATCGCCACATCTAAGAAATCGGAATAGTATTTATCCGTGAGAAATTCGAAACTTTTATCCTCGTCTCTTCCAAGGACGCTTTGCTCTTCAAGTGAAGAGTGCGAAAGTGTGACGTCATCAAAATGAAATTTCTGAAATTATGGTATTTATCAGGATATTCTGAAAGAACAATGTCCAAGAGGCGTATTCGCCAAAAAAGAGCATTTCGGGGCAAATTGTCTCTAAGATCGTAGCCCAGACTCCATACAAAACCCTTCTAAATTTTTTGGGGGTCGACCTCAAAAAAATTTAGAAGCGTTTGTATGGAGTTTTCTAAGCGTAACTGGGCTACGATCTCAGAGACAATTTGCCCCGAAATGTTCATTTTTGGCAAGTAGGCCTCTTGGACATTGTTCTTTCAGAATATCCTGACAAATCCCATAATTTCAGAACTTTCATTTTATGACGTCATCACTTTAGTACTCTATGGCACTGACGCGAGACGTGACATCATACTAGCACGAGGATTGAATCAACGATTTCCTTGGAGACTCTTCTCCCCCGTGATGATTAAGATATATGCTAGGTTAGGTTAAATTTTTTAGTAAAGATTTTATCTTTGTAAATAAGGCTGTTTATCTTTGTTTCTTTATATAACTAGAACATTAACTAAGCTTAATATTGTAATGGAGATCAAATCTTTGCAAATAAAGCTGTTTTTCTTCTGTGCGTCGACCTTGTACCTTAGTGAAGATGATAGTGAAATGTACCAACCTTTCTCACGATGGGAGCTTTCCTTGATAGATATTGACGAGTGTACGACTAACAGGCATAATTGTGACATCAATGCTTTTTGTAATAATACCGAGGGATCTCATAATTGCACCTGTAAGCCTGGATACTCTGGAGATGGAAGTACTTGCACGGGTAATGACGTGTTTTAGTCTTTCTTTGTTTATAGACATAAAACTGAGGTATTTCTTGAATTAGATTTTGTAATAGAGAACAAATCGTTTCAAATGAAGCTGCGTCGCCCTTATTCCTTTGTAAAGATGATGGTAAAATGCACTAAAATTTCTCACGCTGGGAGCTTTCGTTCATAGATATTGACGAGTGTACGAATAACGGGCATAATTGTGACATCAATGCTTTCTGTAATAATACCGAGGGATCTCATAATTGCACCTGTAAGCCTGGATACTCTAGAGATGGAAGTTTTTGCACGGGTAATGACGTATTTTATTCTTTCTTTGTAGACATAAAACTGAGGTATTTCTTGAATTAGATTTTGTAATAGAGAACAAATCTTTTCAAATGAAGCTGCGTCGCCCTTATTCCTTTGTAAAGATGATGGTAAAATGCACTAAACCTTTCTCACGCTAGGAGCTTTCCTTGATAGATACTGACGAGTGCACGACCAACAGCCATAATTGTGACGTCAATGCTGTCTGTAATAACACCCAGGGATCTCATAATTGTACCTGTAAGCCTGGATACTCTGGAGATGGAAGTAATTGCACTGGTAACGGAACATGTTTTAATTTTTTGTTTCTTTCTATATATATGATTGAGGGCTAGTAGGTCTAATTTTGTAATCGAAATGGAAGTAATTTGCACTGGTAACAACGTGTGGTTATTTTTCGTTAGTTTATTAACTACTAAATAATGTATTTCCTAATTTAGATTTTATGATCCAGAACAAATACCTGCGAAAAGGAATGTTTTCTTATATCCTACGTCTTTTATGTGTGAACCTATATATATGGGCTTCCTTGCCTTTACCACATTTAATCTTGTAAATAATTTAGTTGGAATATTGTATATTATCTTTAACGTATTTCTGTATACTGTTGTTGTACTTCTGGTTAATGGCAAAAATGAATGAATGAATGAATGAATGAATGAATGAATGAATGAATGAATGAATGAATGAATGAATGAATGAATGAATGAATGAATGAATGAATGAACCTTGTACGTGTGTGAAGATGAGGAGAAATGTACCACCAACCTCTCATGTTTGGAGCTTTTCCTCATTGATATTGACCAGTGTATGACAAACACCCATAACTGTGATATCTATGCTGTCTGTAATAATACCGTGGGATCTCATAATTGCACTGTAAACCTGGTTTCTCTGGAGATGGAAGTAATTGCACTGGTAATAACGTGCAATAACTATTCTTTAGTTTGGTTGTGGTTAAGGTGATTGTTAGGTTAGATTTCGCGGTTGACAGGCAATCGTTGCGAACAAAGTTCCTTTCTTCAGCAACCGATCTTATTTTCAACCATATAACCCTGTGAAACTATTTGTTAAATATACTTTTCTCACGTTGGGAGCTTTTTTTTCATAGATACTGACGAGTGTGCAACCAACACCCATGACTGTCACATCAATGCTGTCTGTAATAATACCGAGGGATCTCATAATTGTACCTGTACGCCTGGATACACTGGAGATGGAAGTAGTTGCATTGGTAAAAACGTGAATCTTTTCTTTGTTTGGTTGTAGTTAAGGCGATTGTTAGGTTAGATTTCGCGGTTGACAGGCAATCGTTGAGAACAAAGTTGTTTTCTTCAGTAACCGATGTTATTTTCGGTATCAATCTTATACTTCTAGCTGTGAAACTATTTATTAGATACATTTTTCTCACGTTGGAGCTTTCCTTCATAGATGTTGACGAGTGTATGATTAACACCCATAACTGTGACATCAATGCTGTCTGTAACAATACCGAGGGGTCTCATAATTGTACCTGTAAGCCTGGATACTCTGGAGATGGAATTTCCAGTTGCACAGGTAACAACGTGTTTCTGTTCTTTGTTGTTTACATATATGATTGAGGTGTTTCCTAGGATAAATTTTGTAATAGACATACAATCTTTCATTGGACGAAAAAATGGATTTGCACAAATTTGCTCCTTGCAAATATATCCCAAATTTGTAAAAACTGAGGAGTAAATCTGGGGCAAAGATGGTGAATACCACATTTGCCTAGTTGTTTACATCCCTGTTTTTTGGTATCCAAATGTGGCATTTACTATATTTACTCCTCTGTTTTTACAAACTTGCAACATATTGGCGGGAGCAAATTTTCAAATCCATTTCTTCGTCCAGTGTTTGAAAATAAAGCTATTTTCTTATATCCTACGTTATTTGTGTCAACCTTGTGGTGGACCTTGTGCTCTTGTGTTGTAAACGACTTTTTTAGTGGGGAACACGTGAGTCAAATACCGTAAAATTCCGAAAATAAGCCTCTCCATTTATAAGGCCCCTCTAAATATAAGGCCCCCAAAATCGTAACGCGAAAAACTCTCCGTTAAATCGCCCCTCCGAATATAAGCCTCCCGGGGGGCTTCTACTTGGAATTTGCCCTCGAATACAAAGTAAAACAAAGCAAAAATGGTAAATTTCCTTCCGACTACAAGCTAGCCCAATCGATTTTGAAACGCAAATTTCCCTCCGTACATAAGCCCCTTCAAAAATAAGCCCCTCAAAAAGGGCCTTTGAAAAATATAAGCCCCGCGGCTTATTTTCGGAATTTTACGGTAGGAGCAATCGATTAGGATCAGAATTAGGATGTAATTGGAGTACAAGTCTTTCTCTAGTTCGGGTCTGTTCTTGTGTATCTTGAAATAAAGTCTGTTCTCAACTTATTTACAAGTAGGAGTCTATCTTGTACGGAAGGAAGCTTTATCTCAACGGTCGGATAAAGTAGCTTGAGAAAACAGCCGACATTTGGCCACCACTGGTTTCCCCGCGAAATGACGTCTGAGAAAGGAGCGCAGAAATTCCATAATGATGACGTGTCACTACCCATTTATGGGTAGTGCTTCTGATTGGTCGTGCCGCACTACCCAGATCTGTGTCTTTAGTATGGAACTACTGCGCTCGTTTTTCAAATGTCTTTTCTCGGGGAAACCATTACAGTGGTGGTGTCGCAAAATGTCGGCTGTTTTCTCAAGGTACTTTATTCCGACCGTTGAGATAAAGCTTCCTTCCGTACAAGGAAGGAATAAAGAGGATGGTCGTTTATGACATTTTCTGGTGTCGAGATTTGGGAGTGAACTGTCGGGGGAGCGAAATGATAGAGAAACGAACAGAAGACAATATTTTTAAAACACTGATGGTATTTCATTAGAGTTTATATACTAATAACGTTTTTCACGTTGGGCGCTTTCCTTCATAGATATTGACGAGTGTGCGAACAACACCCATAACTGTCACATCAATGCTTTCTGTAATAATACCGAGGGGTCTCATAATTGTACCTGTTTGCCTGGATACGTTGGAGATGGAAGATTCTGTACTGGTAATTACATGCTTCTAAAGTGCGTTTTCACTCACCTGGCCAGCATCGATGTAATTTTATTGAAACAAAGAAAAGCGTCAACATAAGAAAAGAGTTAAACTTTGGAACACTAAAATGGCCGCTGTTTCTTGTCTTTAATTGGAACACCAATATGGCCGCCGTGACTTCATGTGAAAACTCTCTATCCTTGTTTTGATTATGAGCATTATTTTAGTTAGAGACTATGTTTCCGATAAAGCTGTTTCCTTTTCGACTTTTGTTTAGTCAACCTTGTTGTAGGAAAATTTGCTAAATACTAAATTTTTCGCTCCAGGGGATTTTCGTTCGTTATATTGGCGAGTGTGCGAGCAACATCCATAACTGTGATTAAAGAAGGGGGAAAAGCTTATTTTGTTGGCTCCGTGATCAACAACTTTTTGGTTGACGTAAATCTTGATGCACTGAAAAACAGTTCTGTGAATCATGATTGAAGTGCATTCCGTGAAATGTGAACTGCCAAAATCCTTGATTGTGTACACGTAAAATGAAGATCAGTTGAAGAAAATGAATCGTTAATTTGACCAAACGACCTTAACTAGCATTTAACTTACCTTTTGAGTCTTCACAGTTCAGTGCACTCAGTGGCTTCTCCCCCTATTACAGTGCTAGCGTTTGTAATAATTCCGAGGGAATTATAAGTAATTCGGCTACTGTTACTAAAGGGATAAAGCAATAGAGCCAAAAAGTCGACTAAATCGATGAATTCACACCGAAACGCACACACATGCATCAAAGATAAATCTTCTTTATTTAGTTTATTGATCAAAAGGTAAAATATAACGATATTTATCGTTCAGAGACAGCGTTTTTCTCATACAACGTCTCAACGATCGCTTGCAACGCGATACCACCGATTCCACCTTCCTAACGTGAGCTTGGGAGGCATGTGGTTTTTACATAAAAGGTTTAATCAACATGGCCGTCGTTTTATGGTTGTGACTAGAATGGATACAGTGATGGATACCCCAAAGTCAGATTGTCATCTTCACTCAAAATACATGATAGGAGTCTTACAACTTAAAGTAGTAAATAAGAGAAGAAAGAAAACAGTAGGTAGTATGTAGGACTTTGATGTATAATCCACATCCGTATCCACTACACCATCAAGGGCTAATAACTGACGACACTGGTTAATTTTAACGCACTTTACATGGCATTGATCATTACATTATTGGGGGCTAACCGTTTTTAAAACAGTGCTTAACCCTAATCACTGTACTTCGATGCTAAACCCTGTATTCCAGTCTTTTCCTCGCACAACTATCTCTTACTCTGATTTCCCCACTTTTCTCAAAAATGTGCCCAATAAATTCGCATAATTATAGTATAGCGTGGTATAGAGTATAGCGTTGTGTAATAAACATAAGTCGTGCAACCTGATTTTAAGGTATCCCTTCTGGTCACAACCGTCGTTTTAGTGTTTTGGGGATACCAATATGGCGGATGTGACGTCATGTCTCTTTCTATCTATCTATCTCTCTCAGGAAAAACCTTTTGAAAACGGATGAATATGACTATTAGAGTGCCAACAGAAATTGTCGTTTATGTCGTTGTTTTCAGGAGCTCTATTCGAGTTCAACCAAACAAAAATCACGGTGGACGAAGGTCTAGGTTTTGATGCAAGACTGATTTTTTACGTCTTTAAATATGGAGATATCGACCTTGGGGCTGACATCAGGTGAGAGAACAATGATGATTGAACAGCTAACGTTGTGGTAGCCTTTGTCGCAGACGTAATTTAACCCCGGTTAGTAACGTTCGCGAAGCCCCCTTGTTGTGGGCCCCAACGTCTGCGTTTGCGTTTCGAATTTCCTTTCAACCTGATTGGCAAATCGACAATGACTTTTTTAACAGGCCAATCATGGCGAGTACTCAAATCCTGATACACAGGAGGAGGCCCAGAACAAGGATTTCAGCGCTGGGCGCAGGCGAACCTTGTGAAAGTTTCCTATACATTACCTCGCGGTTGAGTTTTAGAAATCACAATCCCGGGCCACTTTTTGCTGAAAACTTATCAATAATATTTACAGCCGGAATTATTTGTATGCATACAGTGTTCATGGTCGGATTTAAAGGTTGGCCGAGAGGACCGCGGCCTCCCCTTTTTCTATGAATTTTTGTTTAAAATTATTATTAAAGAATTCTCAGTAAAATAAATAATAGCTATATTGCTGGCAATAGTCCTAGCCGCCCCTTTCTGAATTTTCTGGATCCGCCCCTGGTGTTAACTTATAATCATGATTGCCATCACCATAATCATCATAAACATTTCCCAACGCAAAGTAATGATAGCTGCAACCAGTTGCAAAAACGTTGAGACAATCGGACGAAAAACAGACCTTTCTTACTTCAAATCGCTCACCTCCCGAGCATGGGCAGGCCAGTTAAGCCAAGGTACAGTGTCTTAAGTATTTCTGCCAATGGTTGTAGGAACATTTTGACGTCAAATTTTATGCTGATTATCCTTAGGGCTTAAGGGGCTAAAGCGTCATTTATTTTGGGAAATGTACGTGAAGATTGACTTTTCCCTCATCTGAAATAATCAAGTCATATAGGGCTACAAAAGTTGCTTACGACCCCACTTTCTATTACTGACAGTTAAAATCTTGAGTTCCCCATGAAGGGTAGCAAAGGTCAAAAATTAAATCCTCGTTTATGGACTTATTTTGTAAATATGGATTCTTTTTCGCATTTAGGCTTAGCGTGGAGAATATAAACGCCACTGATGAAGACCATGGGTTTGGTCCGTACTTGCCACGGATCTATACTTTCCCACCTGGTTACAACGTGTATTGGTTTGACTTTTGGGGGTGGTTGATTGATGATTTAGTCTATGAAGGTGATGAAGCATTTAAGCTGCAGATATCTCTTGTGGATCCACCATCACAACCCAACGTTGTTATAGGAAAACAGGACACTTTAGTTGTCGTAATCAAGGACAATGATCCAGTATTTTAGCACACGGTTTTGACGTGTTAGAAGTTTGCGTGAGATTTCTGATACAAAAACGAGTGAGTAAATATACTATAAAAAGCGCTTTCCATTTGGTGCTTAGCATATACATAAACTGTAACATTCATGAATCTGTCATAGTCTAGCTTTCATTATTTTTTTCAAGTACTGAAATGGTAAAATTTGCCGCTAAACATCGTGCAAGGAAAACAACGTAAACTTTCAAAAACTAAGAGTAAAAATATTAAGGTAACAGTACCAGTCTCATGAATTACTAGAAACTTTTTTTTCTAAAGCTACAGTTCAAAACGAGTGGAAAAAACTAGTTTCAATAACAGACGACAAAATAGCTCCTAATGCACCTAAAGGCTGAACATTTGGCGCGAAACCCCGACCAAGGCACTGCTGCGGCTTCTGATTGGACGTATCATTGTTTTTCAAGTGGGAAAAACATTGTTGGCTATTCTGATTGGCGAACTATTATTCTCACTTGTGAAAAACATCGTTCGTTCCTCTGATTGGCTAAAACTCATTTGGAGTGAAAATTTTCTCACAAAGTTTTTCATTGAGTAGCCTCAGTATGCACATAATAAATCCCAGTACCTAAGGCTGACGCGTTCGTTGGTTGGCACGAACTTCCTCACTACTTGAAAAGGTCTTGTCCGGGTGGATAAAAACCTCAAACACTAGCTATAGAGAGTTGTTGTAGACTAAAAATCCTAATCATTTATCTTTTGAACTTTTACTTATTAAGCTTTGTTTTCCACTTTCAGTGTAGCACCTCGCTACGTATGAGACGCGTCAAAAAGAGAAAGGTAAAAGGATAGAATTAGCCGGGGTCGTTAGAAATGTAAAATTATACCCCACATAATTAATTTAGGCCCCGTCCATACGAATTTGGCAGGGTGTGCTTGTTTCGGTTTGGATTCACTCACTGTTTACAGGAATATGCTACCGAGGTTTACATTTGTTGACTTTACGACTTTGCTCACAAACCTGCCTAGGGGCCTTGATCAGACATTTCTCAAAATAAAATTCTAGTAATAATTGATTTTTATTTTATGTTCTCTACTCAAATGCTTAGTCTTTGCATCATATTTTTTTAGTAGTTAACTTTCGAGTAAGACTGTCAAGAAGGAAAAAGTGAAAGGACCTATGAGCTTAGAATTAGCCGGGCTTTTTAGAAATGTACCATTACCACATCAGACGTTTTTCAAACTAAAAGTTTTATTTTATGTCCTCTATTCAAATACCTAGTCTTTCCATTATGTTTTTCTAGCACTTAACTTTCGAGTAACACTGTTCTTTAAAGTTTGTTATAAGAAAACCCTTCTAAGGGAGTGTAAATAAAACTGGTATTGCGCCACCGAGAATCATACTGTACACATTGTAATAATTCTCTCTTGTTGATCGCTATGTCGGTTCCGCTAGACACTCAGTGTGATGGTTTTGATGGTAACGCCGTGACGGTTTGCAGCCTTGCAACTGTAAACTCCTGCGTCTGCTCTCTGAATTCCTTTGATGCGAAGTTGTAGCTGTACAGCTGCGCCTTTCAAAAACGCAGGAGCATTGGGAAGTGGTCCAAGGATTAGCTGAAATGCAAACCAACAGAGAGAACATTTATGTCACAATTGGGCACGAGAGAGTTCGTTTGCCGGGAATAGGGCCGCATTATAAGGTATTGGTCTTGTGGTGTTATCTGCTAAGGAACTGAGGGCAAACAAAAGGAAAACATGGGCTTGTGAATTAAGCAAGTCGTAGTGGCAGGATGAATACCGTCGCATTTTTTCCAACATTTTTCATTGTCCTCACTTTCTGGTGAAACACATTTTAGAGAGTTGTCTGCACAATAGAGTCGAGTTGGTAAGATGACTCATTAATGGCAGGGACCAGATTAGGAATTGATCTTCTCATAGAATCGACATAGAAAAAGCCGAAAAAACGAAGAACTGTTAGACGCTCGAGTGAACGGAATTCTAAATGATCCTTAAGATTGGTCCTCTTTATGATATGTCTTCGCGTTCGTTTAAGAAGGAAATTCCATCAGTCATACGAAGACCTACCTTTCTTCTTGCTGATGGTGTAATCAGTTGCTGCCCACGACTCCAAGTTACAGTCGGCACAGGCAACCCAACAACTTGACAGTCAACGGTAAAGTTTTCCCCAAAACGGTACTTGTGACTTGTGGTGTGTGTACCGTTGACCAAAAACTTCACAGACATTAATGGTTTTGCTGCATTGTTAAAAATAGTGGTACTACAGATTACGTGTCTGTTAACAATCGTAACTTTGTTGCCTTTATGATTAGCAAATCGAGCGAGACAAAAGTTCCAGCTTCTGTGAGGCGAATATTGGAGAACTGACAATTTGACTAACAATAGACGACTGTTTAACCTAAGCATTTAATACTCAGTAACTCGTACAAGAGTTTTTAGGAGAGTCTGTTGGTGATATAAAACGATCTGCACACATGACCGGCCTCATTCGTTCTCTAATAGTGGTTAAATACATTGCGGGAGTGCCCGACTAAACGTCTCTACCTGCGGCAAAACATAATTTTCCAGTAAGGCTGAACGTACTTCTACAGCGCAGATGCAAATTGAAAGTCCCATTTCTCCCGCTTACAATGAGCACCGCAAGCGACTTCTAGTGCCGTTTCCTTTATTGTAAATTTGAATAAAAGGAGTTGGCGGGAGTATATCTCAGTTTTCAATTTTCGAGCCGCTGTTGAAAGTCGGCCTCTCAAGTTACACAATTTATTCCAGTTCCCGCTCTTTCATCCTTAGGGACTTGTCAGAAATTAGCAGTGGGTAGGGGAGGTGGAAACAAAGGGGGGGTCACAACTTTTCGAGACTGCAGAAAAGGGAGGGGACATGAAAAATGGGCCGTTAAAAGGGGAAGGGTCATGCAAATATGTGTCCGTGATCATGTAGAGGTTCACCCACAGAAGAAAAAAGGAGTTCTTTATTTTGTAAAAAAAAAAAAACTCGGAGAAATAGCAAAGTCGAGTGATAAGCTGTCAGAATCAGAGTAGGACTCAGCTTCATGCTGTCATCTAAAATGTATGTATATGGCATTACAAAGAACAGACTAAAAATATATTTTGAGCTTTCATACTACTGACTCACCCTTGTGTATTGCAAGAACGAGATTTTATCATTTATGCAAGAGGGGGAGGGTCATGATATTTTAGGCTAAGGTCAAGGGGAGGGTTAGAAAATTTTGCTCCCATTCCAGGGCTGGGTCACCTCATTTCCGAACCCAAATTTAAAATTCCCACCTCCCTCTCCCCCTGCTAATTTCTGACAAGTCCCTTAACATTTACGGGCCACTCGTCCCCAAGCCTTGCGAATTTAGAAATAAAACTTACACTCGATCCTCAAGTTGTGTATGATCCCAGAGAAAAAGCGCACGTTTTGTACGATGCACATAAATCTCCCTGCGTCTCCGAACGTAGTGTTATGGATCATCAAGTCTCCACTGTCGTCAAGTGTCAGACGCCGGTTAATGGTCTGCTTGGAACCTGTTAATGAGCGAAAGTCAAGACTTTCTGAATCAAAGCCTCGCAATCCCCTAGCCCGTCTCCTCCAATCCGCCCATTTAAAAGTAAAGTAAAGTAAAAAGTAGTAAAGTAAGGTAAAGTAAAGTAAAGTAAAAAGAAGTAAAGAAAAGAAAGAGAGTGAGAGTAAGTAAAGTAAATTGAGTAAGTAAGAAAAGTAAAATAAAGTAAAGTTATCTAACTAAGTAAAGTAAAATAAAGGAAAGGAAAGGAAAGGAAAGTAAAAAGAGGTGAAGTGAAGTGAAATGAAGTGAAGTGAAGTATAAAGTAAAGTAGAGTCAAGTAAAGTGAGGTAAAGTAAAGTAAAGAAAAGTAAAGTGAAAAGAAGTGAAGTGAAGCGAAGTGAAGCGAAGTAAAGTATAAAGCAAAGTAAAGTAGAGTCAAGTCAGGAAAGGGAAGACAAGAAAAGTAGATGGTCCTTCCATTCAGCCGAAGGCTATTATTATACATAAGGGCCATACGACAAAAAAATACATTACGTTAAAAATTATCTTTACATGTTTTAAAAACTAAGGCACGTTAAAAAACTAAAACTAAAACACAAATTGCATTAAGGTAAGTTACTAAAAAGTTATGATACGAAAACATGTCTTGCTTAGCGTTAGAAAGTCTAATGAACTAATGCATGAATGAAGACACAGTTGATTGTATGTAAATATTCTGAAGTTAGCATGAAAACTTTAGGGGAATTTCATGTCGATCAGGCTTGACTTACCATCTGTTCTTTTTACGGCTATAATCCTGTTGTTTATTCGCCAACTGACAGTGACTGGGCCAGAGGCACTGTAGCGACAAGGTAATGTTGCAGTCTGTAAAAACAAAACTGTGACATTGCTGGAACGGCTTAACATCTGTGGAATATCTGCAAAAATAATAAAATACAAGTAGCTGAATAATTTACCCCTTATGTTTTACCACACAGAAATGGTTAGTTGATATTATCAAGTCGGTCAGGTAATGCATGGTTCAATTCTACTGCAATTCAGCTTCTTAAAAGTAACCTTCTTCATTATAATTTTTTTTTTATCGAAGGGAAAGAGCGATGATATGTAATCACTCCAATACCTTTTTCACAAAGACGAAAGTCCTGTGAGGAGACCTTGTATCCCGGTGGGCACTTGCATTTGTAACCACCGTGAGTGTTAACACATCCGTCCTTCCACGCACACAGAACCTTGTCTTTATGTACAACGCATTCGTTAATATCTAAAACAAAGAACAATGCTTAATGAAGACAATGATAGGCTGCTTACAGTCTGTTTCGCTCTTCGAATATAGGATCTATTGGCACATTTGGAAGAGCAAATAGTGGAGCTAGTCGTAGGCACGTCCAAATGCGCTAACTTTTTGAGAACATGCAGGAGCCCATTTATGGAACGTGCTACTCCAAGTGGCTAGTACCTTATAAAGCCTAACTATGAAAATACTTCAATCGTTATCAAACAAAGAAAGCCTAATACGAACCATTTTCTTTCAACCATGTTAGCACTTAGCATTAATAGATATTTTTCATTACATGAAACATGATACTTAACATCAGATAATTAGTACTTAGTAATGTTATTTTATTATTTCAGTATTATTTCTTCGAAGGTATTAGCTTTTGAGCTACTCTGTAAATTTGAGGTAAAATAAAGTCATGTAATGTAATGTAAGAAAAATAAACATGTGTCACCAGAACAACTTTTTCCATTTCCTGAGTAGCCAGTTTTGCAGGCACAGAGATAGGATCCCCAGGTATTGATACACAAAGCGTTCATGTGACATGAGTGGGTGTTGGCTGCACACTCGTCAATATCTACATGTGCAAAAAGAAGAAATTTTTTTCAGTTCGAGTAGGGCTGGTTTGGTTGGGTCCAAGCCCGACATGGTTTTGGTACCATAGGCGTCTGTGGTCCCAAAACCTTGAAAACATGATAAGTTTGGACCCCTATAGATGTTCTAAAGCATTTCGTAAAGGCATATTTGTTTCGCACCACGTGCTTCGTGTGGTCCCGGTACCGAAAATCAGCAGTGTAAACAGCGCTCTAATTAAGGGCCTTAAGGCCTTATTCAATCACAGCGAAACGCGCGCAGTGGAGCCTCTATTGCTATGGAAATTGGAAACCTATCGAAGAAAATTTGATTATGACGACAAATGTCTCAGATTGGTCAAAATTTAGACAGTTGTACAGGTAGTACAGAAAAAATCTTTTGTCATGACTCTTCAATTTCACATTTTTTCGAGCTAGTTCAATTAAGGCTTCAATGCTTCTGGGAGATTTTAAAAAATAATTGGATATTCGTCAAGGCTTCTTGAACTGAACTTTCCTTGGTCCCGAGGGTGTCACCTGAATAGAGGTGTCCCCTGAACGGAGGTTGGGCTGGGGTTGGTTAATAATTAAACAATAAATTAAACATTTTTCTTTTATTCTGCCTCGGAGCCTGCTGCAGTCGTTATTTCAACCAGCTACGTAGATAATGTATAAAGAAAATCATGATTAACTTATCTTTGCCTTATAGTAAAATGCGGGGTCGGAGCAGGAGCCCATAACCTAATGAGGCTAAGTTACTACCGAAACAGGTAGACTGTTTTTTCGCAGACGCGCGAAACAGTTGCCTCTGCAGAGAAACATATTTGAACTAAGCGCACGTGATTTATCCCTGACGCCTCAAATGTAAGCACACGTGATCGCATTCCTCAACATTCCTGAGAATTAAACGATGGCGGGCTTTTCCATAAACAAACAAGGAAGGTCTTATATCCGTGGTAAACGAGTTTGACTAATAGTCGCGGGTCCAATTTCGTGGTCGCGGGTCCAATGTCGCGGTCGCGGGTCCAATGTCGCGGTCGCGGGTCCAAGGTCGCGGTCGCGGGTCCAAGGTCGCGGTCGCGGGTCCAAGGTCGCGGTCGCGGGTCCAATGTCGCGGTCGCGGGTCCAAAGTCGCGGTCGCGGGTCCAATGTCGCGGCAGGGGAAAATGATTTGAAAACGACTGATATGAAAACAATATGAAGGGAAAAAATCTTTTTTGTGCACGATACTCTTCGGTAGCCAATGTACAGGTTACGGATGTTAGAGTCAAAAATATAATGTCTCAAGAAAAGACCTAAAAGAAAAAGCTGGCCGACTTTTGTGTTCACCGCAAGTTTATTTTGTTTTCTTTCTGTCGGGCCCAGTTAAGTGTAAATTCAGCTTTGAATATACTCATGTATAACAGTATCTGATAAAAAATGTTACCATGAGTAACCATTGTTTTCTTCTTGTCTATGAATTGCTCACAAATCCTTAGGGGTGCATTCACTGAAAAATGTGCGATACACTTCATAGACTATAAATTATAAACGTTACAACAACTTAAAACCTTTTTTAAAAAAGGCTAACTCGGGCACGAAAAGCTACGAGTCTGTCGGTAGAAGAAACGAGAACTGTTTCAATTTTAACAAATGTTTTCGGCAAAAATAAAGAAAACGCTTGTTGAAAAACTTCCTGGTCGCTGTTACGAAAAATTGTATTGCGTGACTAGTGTGACTTTCTAGAAGCTTCATGAGAGTTCATAATTTGTTTATTTTAGGATCTTGTGTAAGCGTTTCTAAAAGCGGTATATTTTGTAATCTTTCTATAATTAGACTATTTGGAAAGTTCTAGAATCTTATTGTAAACGTATATAAGGTAGGCGAGCCCGAGTTAAGTTTTAACTAGTTTTCACAAGAGAAGAGAGTTTGACGTTGGTCGTGTTTAGTCAAGTGTGACGAAGGCAGTTTTTATTCAAGTTGGCGGAGGCCGCTTAAGTTTAACGAGTTACGTGCTGTTGTGGAGTTTTACTCAGTGGAAACTACGTTCTTCTTTGGAATAAATCTTCTTGTTGCTGTTCCGACAACCCTGCGTTCAGTTTAGTTTGCAAGCTACCCGTCCTCTAAAAGATTACCCGCGTAAAAGTCGCAAACTCCCAAAATAAACTCTTTGCACAAGTAACTGGAAAGAGGAGGAGAGACGTTAGGCTTGAAGTGCCAGTAAAGTACATTAAAGCGGGTATTCAAGGCATGACTGTAATAAAAAACAAGTACTAATCCACAGCAAGAGGGGATAAAGCTCCAGCTTTATCCTCTCTTGTCCACAGAAAGGAGTTTGTTGCAAATAACGATTGAAATCCGGAATCCAAGTTCTACTAAGAGAGAATAAATCATAGTCTCTTGGTTCTACTGACAAAGACTTGAATCCAGTACCTGGAATCTGGAATTACTTACCTAATTTATTGTCTTTTCTTAACTCTGGTGGAGTTGATAACTTACCGTTTTCAGTGTCTGGTTTACTTTCTTTTTCAGCTTCATGATATCGGGCGTTATTATTTCCTTACCAACTTACTCACTTAGTTATTTACGATGCATGTTTTCAAGATTTGTCTGAGACGCACATTGAATGGCTTCCTATTGTCAGGTTGTCCTGGTTGCCATTTAGGTGAAGAGAACAAGAAGTTATATTGAACTCTCTGGGTTGCCGTCTCAGTTGTAAAAATTAAAGCATTAAGCGAAAATCTTGCTTCGAGGAACAGACTCCTTTCTGTGGATTATTAGTACCCTGGTCCCAGAGGTTTTTCTTGATTTTTCTTCGCGAAAGAGATCAAGAGCAAACCGCGAAGCGGCGACAACGAGTCGCGAAAGCGACGAGGAGAGAGAGAAAAACCTCTGGTTACCTTGGCCTCGAATCTCACTTTCATACAGACGACAGCTGTCAAACGCGTCAAATTGCTAATAAAAAGAGTGACCAATGGCAACTTAGCAAACACGTGCGTATCAGCCGCTATTTTTTTAAGTGGGGGTAGACCTGGGGAAATTATGTTATGAACAAACCATCTTCACTTGGGTGGTAAAGAGTGATTTGTTAATCGGGGTCAACCTAAAGCATGTGTTAACGATGGGCGACAAGAGTCCAGGAATAAGAAGACCACTTTATAAAGAAACCGACATTGTTCCAAACGAATGCTGCAGGATTTGCAGAATTTATTTGGGTATAATAACAAGGATTTTTCACAAACATTGTCATCTGTTCTGTCAGCAGTGTGCCAGGGGGAAGTTGTAAAGTTTGCAAGAGTCTATCAATCGCGCTTATTACATTGTTTACTTCTGCGGGGCGCGCCGTTCGCGTCGATTCGCGGGCATTCCCCTGAAAATAGTAATATTAATATGTATTCTGGCAATCTGGCTCGCATTTTGGTTTGGTGGCTCCATTTCCTTTTTTTGTGGAACAACGACGCTAGGAAGAGTCATGCAGCACAACAAACCCTTAAGGTTCGGAATGTACTTTCAGAGGTTTTTTGCTGGCCCAATAGACCTATTCGGCTAACTCAATGTACCGAATTCAAACCC